CGTAACCGTAACCGTACGACGTACGTACGTACGTTAATTAATTAATAAATAAACTAAACTAACTAACGAAGTAAGTAGTAGTAGTAGTGTGTGTATATTTGTTTCTATTAATTCGAAATCAGCTCACTATTTTTTAAATAAAACAATGATTTATAGTTTTAGAATTTTTAATCATTGCTCATGGTTTTTGTGGTTTTTTAATGAATGCAGTTGAGGTGTGGTTATCGTGTAGGCTAGTGGACGAATAAAGAATGCTTGAGAAGGAAATAAGAGAATAATGTGGTTTGTGGTATGCAACCTGGTTTCCATGGTGCTCAGGAGAGAGACAATCTCATCTTGTCTTGTGTGAGCTGTGGAGGATAAGAGGGAGATGGTATTTATGTTTGTTTGTGTGTGTCACAAACGTTAGTGAGAAGAAAGAAAGACAATTTGCTGTTGTCTTTTATGTTGGAGACTTAATTAAAAATGTTGTATTAGTTTGCATGTATTTGCATGAGAATATTTTGCATATAGTTATGACTTTGGGTTTGGCTCAAATTGTTGTCCTGAATATTGTGCATATGGTTATGACTTTGGGTTTGGCTCAAATTGTTGTCCTATGCATGCATCTAACATCCTAAACATTCAAAAATAAATAAATAAATAAATTTTAAAAAAAAAAAATCTAAGATCCTAATTAAGATTCTCTGTAGAATTTTCATTTGTTTCTAGATCAAGAAAGTTTGCCCTTCAATATTGTGGAAATTTTCAACCTTTGGAATGGAAGTGGGTCTGGTGGTCCACTTGGAGTAAAACTGGCCCATCAGTGTAACCTAAAAGGTTTCATGCTAGCGCAGGAGCATATAGTTCATTAACTCTCTCAGGTAAAACTCAATCTAAGAGTCTTTTTAGGACCCCAAATTTTGGGATTTCACATTCTAAACCTACAGCAACCTTCTCAAAAAAAAAAAAACAAGACAAAGTAAAAGAAAAATTCAAATCATATCTACTCTATATGTTCCTTATAGAATCACATCGCAAGATCAAACGTAGTCCGTCAAATTTTGGGCAGTCAATTCAATTGTTCAAAAACTAGAAATTTAATTTAATCATTTTTAAATTGAAAATACTCGGATGTGATTCTAAGGTAAATATTGAAATTTTTAAGTGATGATAGGGATGTAGCAAAAATTTTCCATTGGCTACCGTCCTAACAAAATCCTCCTCCTTTTTCATGTGCTTGGGACTAGCAATAACAAATTAGATTCTGAAAGTTTATTATACATATAGGGAAATGACTTTGTGAGACCCTCCCACTTCCATGTGTGTAGGATCTTAAATGATCACCATTAAATTTGACACAGATCTTTAGAAAAGTCAAGTCCCACATGATGTCATAACTTTTCTAGATATCTATGCCAAATTTAATAGTGATCATTTTGGATCCTACACACATGGGTATGGAAAGATCTCATAGGATCATTACTTATATATATATATATATATATATAAAGGGGAAAAAGAATATCATAGATCTTTTTCCCCTCGAGGGAGTAAGTATGCAATGTGCTCTTACTCTTAGGGAAATCCACATGCTCCATACATTTAGAAGGCTACTTTCCAAGGTACATAAGGATAAGCACGAGGAGATATCCCATCACCACTAAATGAAAAATCAAATAAATTATACCAAATGTATTTGTTAAGTAGAATAATAACTAGGGACCAGCCACCTCAAAGGCAATACAATTGGCCCTACCACCATTACATCAACCGGCATGTGAGATATATTATGGATCTATTGTGGGGTATCACCCACCTAAACAGTACATAATTTTCCAATCATGGGAAAGTATGATCAATTTGATTGCTAAACCTCGTGGTTTTTCTTGATCTTCTAGTTTTTATAGAATATTAGCCGTAAACAATCAAAGTAGGGTCCACTTTCGAATAGCATTCTAATATATTGTTTTAGTATTAAAAATCATTATAATCGTCTGGAAAAAAATTTCATCTCTAATTAGAAAATTTAAAGTTATAAAATAGTGTAGATCGAGCATATCTATGAACACACTTGTAAGTCTTGAAAGTTAATGGTTTAGATAATACATTATATGATGCACTATTTCCAATATTTGAAATTTATTTTTGATGAATCTTTGACGTGCACCTCAATTTGATTGTTTAGGCCCTCACCCTTATATGAAGTTTTTCCTATCAAAAGCCACCCCATAACGTAAAGAATTTTTTGACAACATTAAAAAAGAGCTTGATTTCCTCGATATCCACTGCCTTTGAATGGAAAAATAAATTACAGCATAATATTTTGGTATGGTCGTCTAATGTCTTCTACCAAGGCATTATGGGAAAACATTCCCAATATTGTCAGTCCACATTATTAAACTATTATTTAAGTGGCCTACACCCTTACCTTTAAGAAAAACAAACCCATGTTTCATATTATTTAGTAATTTCTGGGCAGGTGATTGAGATAAACGCTTCATCATGCCTGCCATTGATTTTGAAGTTCACAAGAGAGTGGCAGAGAGAGATAGAGATACCACTTGATCACTTTCATAGATCCAACTCTTAAGAACGGGAATAGAAATGGCAATCAGGCCAGGCGATCACCGAGTCGCTCTCGTACAGGGTACAGGTAGCGGTCGGAAACGGGTCAGGTTAACCCGTGGATTCGATGGATGGGCTCAACCTAACCCAACTCACTATTTATATGTGTATGGTGCATATAAATATATAATAACTATAAATCTTTTACATTTTTTTTATTTCCACCTAACCTGATTCGGTAGATCGGATTGAATCTAGTTTACTTGGACCCAACGTAGATCAGGGTCGAGCACCTAGGTCAGGTTTGGCTCTTGTTGGGTTTATGTGGCCTTTAAAGGCATTATAAGTGCTTGTAAAATGAAATGATATAGTAGAACTTGAACTCAGTGGGAGTGTGGTCCATCGTGGACCATACTATACAAACGATGTTTGCAAATACCAGACTATGCTTGACGATCTAGGCCAGTCGGTTTGGAAAAACCCACGTTACCTGGACACGAAGAACAAACCAATGAGAGTTCATGGGTTAGCCTTTGATAAGGTTGAAGAACATGTATGGATGAGTGAGCCGAGGGACTGTGTAACCTTTGTCTGTGATAGTGGCCTATAGAGACGGGGACCAAAACCTCATCAATGTGCCATCACACCGTATGCATATCGATAGATCGTTTGAAAAAGCCAGAAATCCACATTTTAGTGTAAAGCGTATGCATGTGCGAGAGATCCCTCTATGTGCCATGGAGTTGTGGTCGCATCAGGTATTAGTGACATGGACTCGTCTCTAGGGGAGGACCTGTAATCCACAAACTGGGATTACGACCCCTTGGCTCATGGGCCAGACTTTGGTGACCCACTAATGAGCCCCTGCCTGGACTGTAGGTCATGGGGAAACACTGGGTCGGTCAGATAAAGCAAGTGGGGTCCGTAGTCCACAGTTTAAGGTGGAGTGCCTCATGATTGTTGATTCAATTCCTAAATCATATGGATCTATTTCTCATCAAATTAATTTAATTATGTTTGTTTTATGATAATGATTATTTTAGAATTATTATTTGAATTTTTATAAACCTTTGGATATTTTATTTATAATTTTTGGATTTATAAAATTAAAGATATTGATTTTACAATGTTTTAATATTCACTAAAAATTATTTTGCTAATTTTAAATGCATAAAAAAAAAATCATGGGAACCCATTGTGCATATAAGCCCACCATGTTCTAGAAAGTGGGGCCCACATGTGCCTCCCATGGGTGGCACGTCCCAACTCTTACTACTTTCTATTTTACGGAAAGTTTTGTTTTGTGATCCATGTGACCTTATGTTTTGGTAACTTTAAATTGTGACATGTAATCAAATTATGGATTGAGTATGTATTGACCATATATTGACTTAATATGGAAGTAGATATTGACTTGATATATCTTTAATAGATTTTATGGAACGCACAATATTTAATTAAAATTAATTTAACTTATTTTTTATTGATGAGAAAATAGTTTAAGAAATGGGTATAAAGGTTCATAGACTTTCCATAATGTTGATGGCCCATCTATAGAATGGATGGCTTGGATCTCTCACCTCACAAGTCACTCATGATCAACGGTTCATGTTCAATCTCACAAGACGAGGAAAGTCAAGAAAACCCTAAGAAATCCTAATATTGTTCAAGCCTATAAAAAAGAGATTGTCTCTATCCAAAATCTCTATACATTATCTTTCTATCTCTCTCATGTTTGATCTCTCTCTCCCACATTGTGAAAAGGGGCCAAGGGATTAGGATATAAAGTTTTTCTCACTCTCATCTCTCAACTATGAATTTATGGCTAAGGGTATTTAAGGTTAGCAAAAAGAGAATTCATATCTCTCAAACTATGTTACTAAGGAAATTCACTTAGGGTTTGAGTTTGTGATCAAAGGGGTTCAAGTTTTATTGGTGTGGCTTGGCCTAAACTTGCTTTCTCGGTTTGAGATGGAAGCAAAATCGTCGATCCCGGGCCCTAGGATAGTGGTCACTCGGTATGGGGTGTAATTAGTCCGGTTGATGTAATATCTGACACTCTTCTTTTTTATATCTTGCAATTTTATTTTTTATTCTTAAGTATAGTGCACAGTTATTTCAATGACATCAAATTTTAAGATCTTGGTTTTTTTTTTGACATGTTGTTTTTATTTCGCAGTATATGTTGTTGTAATAAGACCACATGTAAGTTATCTTTTGCCAAAACAAAAGGGATGATATAAAAAAAATAAAAAATATTATTCCCCGATAAAAGATCACATAGGTCTTTATTTCAGCTCTAACCTAAACTTAGTTGGGAATGGTATGGTTCTAGGTCGACCAGGACCCAACCGTACTCATTTCCAGCCCTTAGTATGGATATGAGTTTGGTTATTAAGCCCGATGGGTGAGGTCCTGGTTTGTGGTATATATATATATATATATATATATAGAAAACACTATGTAATGCCTATAGGCGATAATGAACAGTGATTCCGCCTACCCCCATCACCGTCCAAAGTTCATCGCACGGTCACGATTGTCCGGTAGTGTTTTATTTTTTATTTTTTTCTATAAATTGGAATGACCTGAAATTTAGAGTGTGTATTCATAAAAAATAATGGAATCTTCGAAAAAATATATATAAAAAAATTACATGAAAAACTTGACCAAAATACCCTTAAATTTTTAGGGGTATTTTGGTCAATTTTATTTTTACGGATAATTTTTTTTATATTTTATTAGATGTCCCTCAGTAAGATGTAGTTACTCTCTATATTTCAGGTCATTTCGATTTATAGAAAAAAAAAATTAAAAGTAAAACACTATCGGACAATCGTGACTGCGCGATGAAGCTTGGACGGTAATGAGGGTAGGCAAAATCACTATTCATTTTCACTTATACGTGTTAGAAAGACTTTTCCTATATATATATATATATATATATATATATATATATATATACTATATTAGTTAGTTAGTAGTA